CACAAAGCAAGCAGGAGCAGAGGTCTCAAGAGCCGTTTTCAGCACGTTTTGAAGGACCAGGTGGAAAGCCAAGAGCTCCTTTCCACCAAGGAGCTGGCAATGGTGGCAGGGCACCACTGCCCGGTCCCTGCCTGCTTGCCTGTAACCCCCTTGCAGGCAGCGCAGTTCTCCGGCCCCCTCCAGTGGCTACAAAACATGCGGAGGAGTCAGTGACAGCCTCCCAGGGCAGCAAGGTTCACGCTTTTTGCAAATCCAGTCCCTGCTATTTGCTGCAGAGCTGGAATCCTTCTTCACACGGCGAGGTAAATACTGAGGCAGACAGCTACACTCTTGCAGAGATGCCTCCTCTCTGCTCTCAGATCTCCTCGTGCTGCTGAGCGCAATCATTTTAAGCTGGGCAAAATCAACAGACCACTGATTAGCACTTCTTGAAGTGGGATTCTCAACTCTACTCTGTCCTGGGCAGGCTCTTACACCGCTTTCCTCACAGGAACAGGAAGGGCTAAAGAGGTGCTGTGCCTCAAAGGCCAGTTTTGGTGTGAAAAGTGCTTTATTTGACTTTGGGGATGGGAAAAATACAAACCTAACAAAAAAAAAAAAAAAAAAAACAAACCACCCACTTCAACCCAACAGATGATGTTATTCTGCCTTTTGCAAAACTCCCAAAGAGCAGGAATCTGGTATCTGGGTACCAGCATTTCGTGCTCTGGAAATCCCCTGCAGCAACAAAGCCAAAAAAAATCCCACGTGAGACTGCTTTGGATCTGCTTTGCTTATTCCAGATCTGTTTCGGTTCCTTAACCATTTTCCAAATCTTGTTATCCCATCCCACCCAAGCTTACAGCAAGGTGACACAATGCACGCTTTATGTATTATCCACAAATATAACACACATTCCTCAACACAGGGGATGTACACTGCAGAAATGTTTAATTTCCCACCCATGACCTGGCGATACTCATTCATGTCATCTGAGCGCAGACAACACGGAAAAGAACACCTTTACAAAAAAAGAATGCTTTGCTACACAGGAGGAAACAGTGAAGTCCAAGTTAAGGCAAAAATAAATGCTGTTTATATAGTGTGAAGATACATAACACACACATACCACTCAGGTTTCATGTTGGAAGACTGTTGTTTCTCGGGTTTAAAAGGACAGTGACAGCCAGAGGAGGTTTTGGCCCTACAGGACAGGACACCGAGGCCTATGATTATCATGAATCTATTTTGAGATTCATTCTTCTCTTTTTACAAGGAAAATTCCTGATCTTCTAAGTCTGCTCATTAAACCACTTCACTTAGGGAAAGCTGGGTTTACACAGTCTCAGCAACCAGTGTCCACAGGGACTCACTCTAACAGGACTGTTTGCACTTACAGCTTAATACTACATGAGTTGTCCCCAATTTGGACTCCCTTCAGGCTCTCAAGCCACAAGAAAGACCACCCAGGTGTAACACCGAGACCTTTGCAGGAGGCACAGTCCCTCAGCTAAGATGGGAGCTGGATGGGTAGCCCCGGCAAAATATCTCCTGCACTTCAAAGCTTCGATTCTGCAAATGTCCATATGATTGTCGAACTTGAAGCTTGCTTGCTATTGGGTTGGGAAAACCATCCTTTGACCTGTGGATTGGGTGATGGAGATATCCACGGTCAGGGGAATCCTTTGGACTCCACATCAGTTGGATTTGAAGACCCAGGCAGCCTTTCAAGCTTGAGGTCAAAAGAACTACCCATACGCACAGAGTTCAGCTCACTGTTGGAGTGACCATCATACCTCAAATTACAAATAAAGAACGGGAAACTAAGAGGCCAAAGTCCCCACCGCCAGCATGGCCTGAGCTTACCCATGGGACCTACAAAGGAATTGTATCAGTACCGGCTACGGACGCTGAGCATGGGAGGAGGGTGCTCTCCTCAATTTCTCTCCCACATGGGAGCTGGGGTTTTGGGAGCTCGACTGGTTGGGGTGGCACTGGCTGGCTCTCTCGTAAGTGTGTCAGTCAAGAGCACAACGGCCAACACGTCGAATACCAAAGGCAGCTATAATGAAAACTCTAACAGGTCATCTGTGGAGGTTTAGCTACAACTAGATACTCGAGTTACATCAGGCACTGAGTTAATTGTGCAACTAAATTCTCCAAATTTCTTTTGGCCACCCTCTGTCATCCACACCACGGCATTTCACCATAGCTCATCCCAGGTGGAGCCAGCTCTCCCCAGAGAAGCATGTGCCTTCCACATCCATCCTACCGCCTTCACCCTAAAGGAACTAATGGGTGACCAGTCCGCTAAACCGTAGGAACAAGTGAAAATCAAGGGGAAAAAAAGTCGACCCAGAGAAGCTGTTGCCACTGCATTTTCTCAAGACAATCTACCTCATTTTCTGCCTCTCTACACTGGAGCTAGAGAGTATGTTCGGCCCGCGCTCCTGCAAAACATTATGGTTCCACCAGCAAGGTGACAAGAGGCTTTACAACCTGTTTGCATCTTTCAGGCATGTTAACACTTCTATAAAGCAAGCACACAACTCTCAGGCAACATGCTCATGGGCTTGCCCTGGCCTCCAGCATGGTGAAAACCTAAACCATCTGCAAGCCTGAAAAGGAAACTGTGCAAAACTGCTGCCTTCTCACCTTGAAGCAGGCCTCCAGCTACATCTCTTTGCCATTATCTCTCACCTGATGAGGGCTTTTGAAAGTATCCTTTGCTTTGGTATCTGAGCACTGAGTGTAGCCACCACATTTTAGCCTGTTCTCAGCAGTGCAAATTTTGCCATCTTATACCAAAATCAGTAAGCGGAGCAATGTAAGGGGCCAGCTGGACCTCACAGGCCTGGCCATGGAATTGAACCAACAGGAAACAATCAAGGGACTGCGTTTTTCCTGCTGTTCTTCCTTCTCTGAAAGCATCTTGTAAAGGCACATGTTCTTCAGCACATCATAAAACACACAAGAAAGTCCACCCTTGCTTATCGAACTCCACCCTAAATGCATCCCATAGCAGGAGGACCAGAAACAGAACTGGGATTTTGCATTGATTTGTGCATGCTCTGGAAAAGGAACATTTTGTAACTAGTGTCAAGACCCATGGGGCGAATCCATGGGGCAGCCCTGGGGATCCGCTCCTACAGAGGCAGGATAATCAGGGCTGTCGGCCAAAGGCATACAAAACCAAAATGCAAGGTAGCTTAAACAACCCCACTTCCCTGTTACCACACAATAAATAAATCCCCAACATCTTTAGCATCACATGGGAAGAACATCTGGCAAAGAGAAGTTGTCCAAAAAATCAACTTATAACACAGAGACAAGAACTTGGATCAGTAAAGTAAAAGCAAGCACCAGTTATCACCAGGGTTTTACCCAAGATCCTGAGGCACCTCTGTCCTTCTAAAGTTGCTGTTTTGACAATGCTTCCTACACAATGACGGCATCGCTACCTTTAAGGAGCTGGCTGACCCTGAGATCCCGATGAAAGGCTGTTGACTCACCGCAGAACGACACTCTTCTGCAAACTTGTGACGTGAGGGTAAACAGCAACGTAGAGGCACTGGAAATCAAAGGAGGCCAGGCTGCTGGATGTGACACTGCATTTAGGAGTACGTAACCTCCTAACTCTTCAAGAAAAGACAAAAAGTCCTTTCTTCTCCCTTTTCCACAATGCTGGTAGAAGCAGTATGCAAACAAAAAGACCTCTTAAGTGGGTCTGGGAGGGTTTTCTCTGGTCATACTGCCACCGTGGCATATGGAGAAAAAGGTAGGTAGTGACTTTTATTTCTATGTGCTGTGCTACTTTACTGGGCCTTCAAAAACATCATAATCCCTGCAATATTGCAAGCAGGCAGTCTAGAGACCATTTTGGTGTCATTTTCTTCATAATCACACAGATATATTCACAGGCATTGCATCAACCACCATCCAGTACAGCAACACGACAGTTTAATTTAACAACCCCTCCGCTGTTTCTCCTGCTCACTCTCAAATATTCAAACCCATTTTACAGTGAACAGAAGATTAATTTAGCTTTTGTTTTTCCAAAAAATACCCCAGAAATCTTTCAGGTTCACGTGCTGGCTTCATCTGAGCATCACAGTCCTTGTCCCACTACTGCTGCAGTGGCAACTGAATCGCTCGGATCACACCCCCACAAGAGGCTGTGTAGCTGTGAGTTTCCAGAGGCGAAACTACTTTTTCCTCTTCTCTCCACGTCTTCTCATTCATGCTATGGCAGTGGTCACGAGACTTGACCGAGTCCCAGGCAGTCGGGAGGAAGATGGGCCAGCCCCTGCCTTGTCTGTGACAGAGCTGGAGGGAGAGCCGAGCTGCCACAGCAGATCTGTGCTCCGTGGAAGTGACTCGGACAGGACAGGATTACATATTCTGCTACTCTCCCATCTCTGCAATGGGGCTGCTACATGAAAAAAAGCCAGGTCAGCAGCTACCTTGCAGCACGTAGAGACACAGATACAATTTTCCAAGTAACGCACGGCACTGGACAGGAAACCTGATGCATTTCACACCAGAACTGGACAGAAGAAAATACACCCGCTTTTACAGCAGCAACCACACGCTTCATACGGAAGAGAAAGGCCAAGTACTGACGGCAGAAAGAGAACAGTGCTGTTGTAAAACCCTTACCAGGGCGAGGAGAGACTCCCTTAGGTGCTCTCAGAAGAGGAAAGGCTTAAATATGGACACTGTCCCCAGGCAGAAGTGCCACTGAGACCCAAGGTGTGTGTAACACAGAGCAATGACAGAGGTAGAGTCATAACAGACAGACATATGCCAACAGCTACAGGATATATTGTATTTGCTCATGTAACAGCCACACACGCTTATTGGCCTCACCACCCAACCAGTTGCAAACAAGAGATCACCAGTTAGATAACCCGTAGCGTTAGGAATAAGACACACAAAATCACTGCACCCTAAATTTGCTGGGAAAAATCACAGGGGCAGGGAATTATGTGCACTCCATGAGCAATACAGTATTTCCCTGCGGGAGAAGGGTTAGGATTGGCACCTGGCTTTATCAGCACACTCATTTACCAAATCAAACTGTCCCGGAAAGCAGCCAGTTGCCTTTTAACTGTTTTCGTGAAGTAAAAATTGTTTAATGGGGTCTGGGATTGGAAGGACATGGATCAGATCCAGACGAGATTTGCCAAGTATTCTTCGTACAGCTATGCGGCAGAGAGACAAGAGGCTCCGGGTGCGGCCTGCAGTAAAGAAAGCAGAGAAAAAAACTATTGAGGGACAGAGAGAGAAAGAGAGAAGGATAACAGAGGGTAAATTGTGTGGAGCTCTGTCTGACAGCTGAGGAGACATGTATCCCCTCCATATACCAAGGCCACATCCTGCGCAGCATCACGGAGAACTGAGCATGCACAAATCCTCCCCGTGAGGAGGTCAAAATCTTTTGTCCAAAGATTTGGAGCAATGACAGCTGCCACAGTTTGGAAGGTCCAGCTGGAGGGTGCATGCGGTTGTGACCATAGAGCTAGTCCCTGCACGAGAGGGTGCAAGAGATCACTGCCAAATCCACCCCAGGGGAGGCTGGGAGGGGCTTTATACTATTGGGATCATTTTAAAATTATGCGGAGTTTATTTTTGCTCTAAACCACCCCCTTGGAATGAACAGCCAGCTCTGGCCTTATCCCCATTTTCTTTTGAGGGCTTCTTTGAGTTCATGGAGAGCTTTTCCAGCACAAGGACAAGAAAATGGTGGTGTCCATGTTCATTCAGGAACCGGACCTCCAATGCACCACTCCATTAACCTGTGTGCTCTCCCTTAGGGGTCCCATTTGTCTCCTAAAGCCAGGCTTAATGGAAACCACCTGCTCCAGCTTATGTGTGCCTCTCCCCAGCAGAAGTCCAGGCAGGTTTAAAAGCCAGGCACATGCAAAGCTGAATAACTCTGGGATGGGCGGGGGCTGGGGGTTGTATCCCGCAGCCTGAATCCCTTTCAAATTTCTCTGGAGTTCAAGAGGGAAACCCCACTTCTGACCGTGGTGCAAAGCCCTGGCCTTCACCAGCTGAGCCTGGTGGTTTTACGAGGTGCTGCCCTCGCTGGAACGAGGGTGCACACTGTATTGATGTTGCTTTTGTTATAAAAAGAAAGAAATAGCAGGTAAATTTAGACATGTTCAGGTCTGAGGCTCTGGTTTACTTCTTTTATAACTCATTTGCTTCCCAGAGGATGTTAAATTCAAAACGCCAGCTTTTTCCCACCTTTTCCCACCACCATCTGAGCTCCCTCCTGCCACCTGCTGCCACCATTTGTGGCTTTACTTCCCAAGTAGCCTGACCAGATACAACGACCTCTTGGGTCCCTCCCTGGGCCCCAGAGCAGAGCACAGGCTCACTGGAGAACAGTGAGGGCACATCTGCACGGCTTTGGAGAACTGGGTCTCACTGAATATGATGTACACTGAATGTGGTCCACAGATCCAAAGCCCAGCTCTGATAGGACCCCACTGCCTAAGGCAATGGAAAAATGGTGGGAGAAAGATAAAAATTGTAAAGTTACAGACACAGGCTGGCCTGCTGAGATAGACATGGTTGGTACCTGAAGGACTCAAGAGGGAAAACACCAAGATGTGACAGGAGAAAACCAGGGAGGCTAGCTGGAGGCCTACAGGGAAGCCATCGGGTTGAGTCATCAGTGTTGACAGAACCCGAGGCAGGCAGCAGCTCGGCAACACTGAGGACCCATGCCAGGGAGCTGCAGAGGCCAGCCCCGCGGTCCTGTCCTGCCTGATGCCTGCCTGGCCAGCAACAGCTCTTTGGGAGTGATATCAGAGGGAGTGGAGTCATTAACACTTGGCTGAACAGTTTATTAAGTCCCAGTTATCTTTTTCATGTATTAGAATTGCTTTAAACTTTTAAGCTAGGTATAACCTGCGCACAGGGTCTTTTAGAATTTGGCTAAAGGCACCTGAACAAACATAGAATCATAAAATCATAGAATCATTAAGGTTGGAAAAGACCTCAAGGATCATCAAGTCCAACCGTCAACCCAACACCACCTAACCCACTAAACCACGTCCCCAAGCACCACATCTACACGTTCCTTGAAGACCCAAAAGAGGATGGTTACATCCACCCTACCACCTTAACATTTCCTAAGAGTTCTGAATCCAGAGCTAGATAAAACCAGCACCGCTGCAGTAATCCAACGCCACTTACCCCTCGCTTCTTTGAACACCTGCAGAGCCTCAGGGTTGACTTTGACCCTTCCCGTGGATTCAACTCCCAAGGCCTCCACTTTCACCAGGTTCAAATCGGCTCCAAAGTCAATCAAGAGTTGGACGAATGCTGCTTCACAGCCATGCCGCAGGACAGCGTCCATCACACAGACTGGGGAACCCCGGGAGAAGCCTTGGATGTTGATGGGCCCACAGCAGTTAAAATCCGGGTTGGCTCCAGCCTGGAGCAGCAGCCGAAAGCACTGGAGGTTGTGGTAGGCAGCGCTGATGTAGAGCGGACAGACCACCAGTGTGGTGAGGGGCCGCAGGGCGAGGCTGGGGGCCCGGGAAGGGAGGTGGTGGTTCACGTCCACATCTGCGCCGTACCTGGTTGGGGGAGAGACAAGAGCAGTCATTTGGAAACAAGTGTGATGGCACCACAACTGCAGCCCAGGGGCACAAAATGGCAGGGGATGAGGCTGAAGGACACGCGGAGGGTAAGCACCCTGACTGTCTGGGGTACCTCTGGGCCCCACCACCCAAAAACCACCCATACCTACCATGAGAGGTGCCTGGTAGGGCTTCTGAGTGGGGGTGCCGTATCCAGCACGGTCTGATCTTCAAGCAGCAAAGCTGTTTCTCTGGCCACAACAGCCCAGGCTTGGGAGAGAGGAGGAGAAGCTGAGGAACATCTTTCCTTGCCCTCCTGAAAGATGTGCCAAGCACGGCCTTGGCACAAGGGATGGCTCAGCCCTGAGCCAGCACCACGTAATGCTGGATGCTAAAGAGCTGGCTGGGGAGCAGGGATGTTTCCAAATGACTCAGTTGAAGAGATGCAGTGAAATAGCTTCCCCACCAGGATAACATGGGCCAAAAAGCAACAAAGGCAATTGATCTGACTGTCACAAACAGCAGGGAAATGGAAACAGCAATCTGCACTCAGCAGTGAAAACATACATGACAAAATCCTGCTCCCGAAGGAGCTGAGGTGGTTGAAATCCCATCAGGGAGTCAAAAAGAGGCCTTTTCCCTACTATTGAGCTCAGCTGAAGGCATGTACCTGCCAACTCTGAGCACGTAGGAAACTGGAGAAGCACAAAATAATTGTGTCAGACCTTCCGCTCTCCCCACCCATCCTGCACAGCTCCCTTCACAGGTTATATTTTATATTAGACATCGCATGAGAGACTACAGCTCACTGGCCGGCACTCCAGGCACTGAAGCGCAGACAGCAAACCTCTCGAGCCTTTTGCAACTGGCTCCTGCTTCAGCCTACCCCACAGAGAAACCCCGTACCTCATATCTTCGCCACATGGAACCACGGTGTCCCAACTTGCTCCGTAAGCCCTGTGGCCAGAGCAAAGCGGGCACAGATTTGTTACAGCGCAGAGAAGGCATGCAAGCAGGCTAAAGCCCTGCTCAATGGACATCAGCATCGTTATCAAATAGAAGCAGCACCCGTAGCATGCTTCTTTTTGGGAAGTACCGATGGCACTAAGTTGTGAACGAGCAGAAAACAGGGCTTGTTGGCTTTGGTACTTTTCAAATTTTTGGAGGAAGTAAAGAACAAGGCCAAAAAAAATGGGAGCAAAAAGGCCAAGAGTCGCCCTCTGGAAAAGCATGGAATTTGAAAAATGGCAATGCTGCGGAAAGAAGAGACGGCAAAAATAAGCATTTATTTCCCCCAGGCTGGGTAACACACAAGCAGTGGGGACACTGTAACTCCATCTACTTCACACGCAGCGCAGATGGGAACAAGGAGGAAGACAACGCAATTCCCTAAGGAGTAGCTGGGTTTTATTGCAGTGTCGCAGGAAAAGCAATGCCCTCTCCCTTCTCCCCACAGAGGGATAAAAGATTCCTTCACCTGCCAGTCCCCCTCCCAAAACTGCAAACTGAGCATTCAGAGAAATAGATTTTTCTGTCTTCCTAGACAGCATTATATCCCTTTCTACAGTTAATAAAAACAAATAAGGAAACCACCTGGGCACAAAACCTGCCTCGTGGCAAGCACAGCTCTCACTGAACCCAGCAGCGGCAGGTCCCCAGACAGCAAATACTTAACCAAAAGCTTCAATTCTGAGGATGGGAATATCCTCATTTAAATTAAGTGCACAGAGAACAAGGGCCGAGGAAACTTGTCTGGCATGCAGTGTATTTTTACCCCAACACACAAGATCTCCCAAGCATGAACATCTCGGCTGAGATCTCAGGAGACCAGTGGGGTGGAAAAATGGACAGACAGCAGGTACCCCTTAATTTCAGTCCTTTTTCATCAAAATTCTCAGTGGAAACCCCCAGTTCAAAGCAAAATACAGAAGTCTACTTTTAACACAGTGAGGCACACGCCTGAGGCATCGGGACGATTTCTCAGATCTCTTTTTCACCATTTTTAGTGTGGAAAAAGGATGCTCTTGCCCTTAATACACTGGCTCAGCCCTCAGTTACACTGCAAGTCCGATGCAACAGTCCGATCCCATCGCAGCATGATCACATCACAAGCTGTCAGGAGAGTAATCTACACCCTGGCAATACAACCATAAATATTTCCGCCAGCCGTCTTATAAAATGGATCACCGTTCCATAGCTATGTGTGTATTTACTATTAATGGATACAATTTCATCTCTTGCTTGGTTAGCTGGTTTGGCAATTGCAGTAGTATTCAGGAATTGTGCTACCATATGATTAAAAAAAAAAAAAAAAAAGAACCAGTGGATGTCTAGACACCTGCAGCAAGCCTGAACTGGGTTGGGCTTTCTTTTCAGGACACTGAGGATCTCTCAAGCTGAATATGCTGAAATATTTCCTTATATCTCAGTAAACATGTCTTCCTCATGGCATTCCCCCCACCAAATCCTTTAGATCAACATTTTAAGAATCTCTGAGTGAGCTTTGTAACCTAAGACTGTATTTTAAAGTAAGCAACTCTGAATAGATCTGTGAAATCCGCACTCTGAGATATTTGAAATTTTGGGCAATCTGACAATTTGGTATTAGCTTAGCAGCCTTGGGAGAGACATTGTCTAATAAAAAGATATTGGACAAACTCCAGTTAATTTTTAATCCTGAAAGTTTTCCAAAATCTTGCTTTTAATATTGCTGGCAAGGTATCCTGAGGAGCAGACACATAAATCAATGCATCAGCTCGCCATGTGCTGCTGAAATACCATTTGCTACATTTCACCCTGCCTTAGCAGATATATGAGGGGAGAACCTCGGGAACGTGGCATGCGAGTTGAACCCTGTACCAACTAGCATGTGGCAATGGGGACATCTCTCAGCTTGCTGAGAAAGAAGCAAGGAGAGGGGACCATCTCCCCTACTTTCTACTTGCCAGCCTCCTTAAAATTGCACTTGTATGAAAATAACTTCCCCACAAACAAAAGGGAAGGGAGAAAATCCCCAAATATTCTGAAACTTTTCTATTCAAATCCTTTTGGTTGCTATTTTCTAGCATTTGTGGTCATTGAAAGGATTCCTTAGAGAGCCTTTCTCTGTGAATCCAAATATTATTTCTTCTCTTCTACTATTTCTTTCTACAACCTGTATTTTCCCATTATGACCCCCCATTATTTGGCATCAATGGCCCATACTGTTTTTCAGCATGGTCCCTTATACAAAAAGCTTCCAATTTAGAAGAAAGGAAGTATCACAGCACGTCACAAAGGAAGAAACTCAAGTTAACACAGGCTGCTGCTAGACCCTGAGCCCCTCTCACTCCTGGTGCTGCAGAGGAAGTTTCCTGAAGGTCTGGAGGCCACCAGCCACCCACCACCCAGCTACGGTTACTGTTCATCACCCCATAGTGACAGCCGTCACTCCCTGTGACAGAGATATCACCCCTTCCACCGAGCTGTGCACCAGGTGTCCGGCAAGGGGAGACTGAATCAGATGCCACAGAGGGTGTCCTAGCGATGTGCAAACGCCAGGTAGCCACGAATAGCCAGTGCCAAGCATCTCTCCTCCCAAGGACAGAAAATGGTCTGAGCAGCAGAGCTACACAAAGCAGAGATGTGTTTCCAAACAATTTTTGGTTTGCTGGAGGATCCGCTTCACTGGTAAATTTAGTCAGAGGTATACAGCTGGCAGTCAAGAGGGAGGTAGGGGGGAAAATAATTTGCACAATTTGGATCTGACTGAATGGTGGGCTCAAATGGAGACTCCTTTCTTGGGCTTTGTCTTAGGAAAAGAGGCATGGGAGTCACACAGCAGGGCACAGACCTGCTGCCAACGGGGAATACAAGAGGTCCCTTTGGCCACCTCTCCACCCGCTCTCCTGTCCATCACTTGGACAGCTTCACCAGGCCTGTGGAGGTACCAGGCATGTGAGGACGGAATGGGTTTTCCGAGCCCCACAGGGCAAAAGATCCCAAGGGAATAAGAGAGTGAGGTAGAGCCAGCCCCGTCCCCACCAGAACCACCTCCAGCCTACACCCAGGCTCTCACCTGATCAGCTCCCGGAGGATGTCCGCCCGGCCGACGCGTGCTGCGTGGTAGACAGGGGTGTCCTGCCGTTGGGGTCAGCCCCAGCTTCCAGGAGGATCTTGGCACACTCGAGGTGCCCGTTGACCACGGCCACGTAGAGGGCGGTCTGCCCCTTCACATCCACCAGGTCGATCTCAGCCCCTTTGCGGAGGAGGAAGTCGACGCAGGGGCCGTGGCCAGCGGTGGCTGCGATGCGCAGCGGCGTGCAGGGCAGCCAGCCACAGCACCATACCGACTTCTCGTTGATCCGGCTGGCATGAGAGGGGGGAAAACACCGGGTCAGAGAGAGCCTCCTGCCACCTTGAACCATCCCACCTACCCCAGCCCTGGGGGAGGACGCTGGGAGAGCCCTAACAGCTCCCTTGAAGCATTTCCTCCCCATTTTTGGCACTTTATAACAGCACTGAAAAGCTCCTGCCAATAACCTGACTAGGCACTGCACACAGGTAGCCAGAGACTACAGCGTGTACTGGAGTAGTACCTGGAAGACAGACTTTACCGCAGCTCTTCTATGTCAGGAGCTGCACGTATGCATAGTGAGGGACAAACCCTGCCTCAAAACGGAGTCAAAATTATCAATAAAAATAAAACACTCCCTTTTTACAGGGAGATGTCCCAGATCAGCAGTGACCAAGCTGGGGACCACAACCATTTAATTCAAGCTGCTCCAAAGGGGGCAGAAAGTCATCAAAGCAGCAGGGAAACAGCAAGAGGACGCGGGAGGAGGAGAGCGACGTAGGGAAATGCAGGCCCACAGCTGTATCACACCGCCGGCAACATCCACACTCTGCCAGGCACTGTGGGATGACATAAACACAAATCCCGGGAATCTCAGCCTTGCCAGCAAGGAGCACGCTTGGGAGGTGTGGCCACCCTGCACTCAACAGTACAAGTAGGCCATTAGTGTCCTTGTTGGACGGTGGTACTGGCATCAGAGCCTTTTCCAATGTATAGAAGAGAGAGCTCTGGCTAGCGGCTGCTTAGATCCCCTCTGAAGTAACCTCTGTTAGTTGTCATGTTCATCCAGATCTCACGTTAGCCCTGCAGATCTCATAAACATCTAAACCTCACTCCTAAATTCTCTGCAAATCACTGCGGCTACCATTTTATCAGGAATGGGCAGAGAGGAAGACATAGAGATTTTGGAGAGGGTCCAGAGGAGGGCCACGAAGACGCTCAGGGGGCC